GAAAACTTTGTGATCTCTTTTTGCTATTATTTTCTTTATATTCTTACTCTTATTGCTCTCTCATACATCTGATTACATTTAACTATGTGCTGATCACTGCCTTGAAAAACTATTCCTGAGAATTTCCTGGAGCTAAGAAAGATGATGCCTTCCTCCAGAGAGAAGCTACACTTGCCTCTGCCATCTACCTTGTAGTATCACCTATTCCAAAACCATTTTACACTAGGGATTCCTTGGATGACTCATTAATGCAAATTTGAACTGAAAATCCATGTGAAAGTCCCCACCATGGTCAGGCTGTCTCAAAGATAGATAGGTTTTGTTTTCTTTTATTTCTGCTCTGCTCAGCACCAAGGCAACTTTCCCCATGGTGCCCTACATGGGGAAGGGAAACAGTTTTCCTTCTGATTTACATTTATTCTAAGGCTGTCACCCATGGAGGAGGATTTCATTTCATCTCCCAACCATAGACAATATTTTGATTTATTTCAGCCTTATCTTCTTCTAACCTCACAACCTATTAAAACTTCATTTGATTTTTGATTTGGCTTGATTTCTCTTTTCCCACAAGGCTATTAAAACCCAACTTAATTTTGTCAGAATTTGGCCTCAGACAAACATAGATGCTGCGTTTTGCTTACTTTTCTGGTTTCTTGCTTTTTCTTAGCTTTTGGCTTAGAAATATCATTAATATTCACTAATTTCTTATTTTCAAAATAAAAAATAAAATATCCTTATTCAATCCAGCAATTCCACTTCTGGGCATATGTTGAAAAAATTAAAAGCAAGGACTCAAACAAAAAGGAAAAAAAAAAAGGATTCAAATAGATATGTGTATACTCATGTTCACAGCAGCATTATTCCCAATAGCCAAAAGGTAGCTATTCCTACGTTCACCCAGGGATCAATGACTAAACAAAATGTGGTCTATACATAGAATGGAATATTATTCAATCTTCAGAAGGGAATGTTGATACATGCTATAATATGGATGAACCTTGATGACATTATACTAAGTGAAATAACCCATTCACAAAAGGACAATACTGTATGATTTTGGTTATAGGAGATGCCTAGAGTAGTCAAATCCACAGAGACACAAAGTGGATTGGTGGTTGCCAAGGAATGCGAAGAAGGAAGAATGGGTCCTTATTGTTTAATGGGTACGGAGTTTCAGTTTAGGAAGATGAAAACAGTTCTGGAGATGGATGATGGTGACTGTTGCACAACAAAGTGAATGTGACTGTTCCATAACAATGTGAATGTACTTAACGCACTAAACATAAAAATGGTTAAAACAGTAAATTCTGTATTATGTACATTTTATCAGGATTTTAAAAGTTCTTATTCAAATGATTAATTTCCCTACCTTCACTTTTACTTAAATATATAAAATGAACAGTATTTATGTGCTTAATGGGACATCTTCAGAAAGTGTTTTCTGATTAAGGGTCGAGTTTGAATAACATTAACTAAGCCCTTAGTCTTGAAAACCTCTGATTCTTAACAATGTTTTCTTCATATATAATTACATGTGAAGAAAAAAATGAAAATGATGTTGGAAAAACACAAAGATATAAGAAATAAAATTAGGCCTTATTTAACATTTTACTCCCAGGAGCAAAAGGCTCATAAATAGATAAATTTCACCTTCCTTCAGTACAGATATTTTTAAACCAAAACTTTTTCGTTATTACTATAAAATCGTGTTTCCATGTAATTTTCAAAATCTATGGTAATATTCGCAAATGTGAGTACTGTAAAATAATCTATTAAATTTACAGAATTTCACTATTAGGTACTTGTTTATTTTACAAAAAGTTCAATTAGAGAATACTTTAAAATTCTTAGTTTTACAAATATCAATTAAGCACTTTTTGCAATATAGTTAAGAGGTTAAAAAAAAAAAGAAAACAACTTAGAAACCACAAAACATCATTCTCCAGGGGTAGGCTATTTCATGTTACAAAAAAAAGGAGGAGGAAAAGGAAGGGAAATGAAGGGAAGAGGGAATATTTGACCGGTCAATGTCTATCCAAACCTTTATCTTACTCCTACAGCTTCCTTTCCCACTCCTAACTTGGCAACAACCACTTATAAACAACTTTATCTACACCCATCTTAACCTCTGTCATGCCACTCTAAAGGAACAAGTGTATTTCCAACTTATATAAAATCCCCCCATAACTTTATGATATATATTTCATTTACCATCTCTAGCTCTTTCCCTTCATTTTAATAAAGATACTTACATTTCTTCTATTTTAAAAAGAAAAATCTCTTTCTTGACCTTGTACATCCATTTCATTATAGCCTTTACAGTCAGCAACTTTTAAAGTGTAATCTTGACTCCTCTCTACTTCATGTCCAGTTCTCTTATCAGCCCACTCTATCCCTCTCCATCATACCACTACACTGCTTGCGCTATGGTCTCAATTTATAACTGGCAAAACCAAGAGACATTTTTCAGACCTCCCTTTAGCACCTGACACAACCACCACAAATCCTCAAAATTTTCTACGTTTCCTTCAAAGTTATTACTCTCTTATATTCAAAATATTCCAGTTTCTATGTTCCTGGTTAAACAGATTTGTATATTATAGTATATATTATCATAAAGAGAATTTTTACAAAAATTTTAATGAAACTAGAAGTATCCCACAGTTTGTGGTAACAAAGCACTTAAAAATAATTATTAAACTTAAAGCTAAATCAAATATTTTAAACAAAAACCCTAATATTCTAAATTTGCTCACCTTTTTTGGTGGGGGGGGGGCGGTCTGAACAGAGGGAGAGAGAGAAAATCTTAAGCATGCTCCATGCCCAGCAATGAGCCTGAGGCAGGGCTTGAGCTCATTACCTCAAGACCCTGAGGATCATGACTGGAGCCGAAAGCAAGAGTCGGACGCTGAACTGACTACACCACCCGGGCACCCTGCTCACCTTCTCTTTGATGAAAGGTAGCTATATTACATTTTCTAGCAAGTGCTAGAAAATGAAATCTTTTCTTCAAGAGAAATATATTTTGACAACAAATGTGAAAATGCTTTTTGAAAAAAAAATGCTTCTCAAAAGGAACTCATTTATATAAAAAGCATTCTGAAAACATGTTGATTACTGCCAAAAATAAATAAATTAGTAAAATTAATTAAAACACATATCAGAATACTTCAAAAATTTGGAGAACAAATTTTTATCTCATCTATCAAAGAATTTAAGTAGGTTTTAAACCTGTTATAAACATTTTTTTTCTCATTTCCCTCCTAACCCCGTTATAAACTTTCAAAAAAAAACCTTCCAGTTAATTTGTAGGAACAAATACCTGACATCAGGAAAGATGGCAATTACTAGCAGATTTCAAGAACAACCTGTGAACTACTAGTAAACAGAATTGAAAAAGGTTCATGTTAGGTAAATAAAGCAAATGTTAACATCTCTTTCATTTGGAAGCATGGATCTTTATGGGTATCTTTTCAACTATGAAAGTTAATAAAATCAGATATTCAAATAACTGTACACAATTCCTTTATTATTATACATTCTAAATAATTATATTTCACCTATGAGACTGCAGGCTAGTTAAAAGTGGAGACTTGTCTTCATCTTTGTAACCTAGTATTTTGACTATATGACATACAGCAAATAGTTATGCAATAAATACTGTGTGAATAACCAAAAATATAGGCAAGTACACTAAAATGATATACCTACACATACATACATACATACATATGTAACAGTGTAACGCCTGGTTAGGTAAACAAAACATTACCTAAAATCGGCTTGACTCAAATCACGATGTTTCCACACCAATTTAATGGTGTTTAAGGGCTCAACTTGTAATTTATGACTTCCTTTTTTTAAATTATGATTTTCTTAATTAGCATATGTTCTCCTAAATGAAGATATCAGAGTTGCCCTATATAATATGTGAGGATCTTTGCTTTCAAAGTGAATCATCAGTGATACAGGGAATGAATATATAAAATCAATAAACAGTAAAACAAAACCAACAGAACTTCTTCTGTGACAGACTGAATAAATGACCCAGCACAAATGAAACAGTGGAAGTTTTAAAAATTAGATTTTCAAAATAACAAGTTAGAACTAAAACCCAAATAACAGTATATTTATTTTAGGACTCAGTTAATATCCACTAATCTCATGAAGAATGTGATAGCTACTTAACATAATTTTCGCCATGGTATAAATTTTCCTTTCATGCTATAGTAAACAAAATTTACCAATAAATCATATAATTATTAATATAAATATTCCCCATTGCTAAATTACATTAGTCTTCCACGGTAGTTAAAGAGGCCCACATTACAATTTTATTTGAAAAAAATTAAAAAACATATTCTGTTAGCATCTTTAATTCTAACTGAATCTTTAAAATAGAAAAATAAACAAAATAAAAGAACACAAGGCTGTTCATAAAAAAGGAATTAGGATACCATGTATATGCGTGTGTGTATTCACTGATACGATAAATTGCTAAAGGTTATAGTAATTACTAATTATATTCAGAGAAAAATTTTATCTTATAAAAGCTGAGATACAAAATGATTAAGTGAAACTAAAGCTGAATTTTATGGATGATATCTACCAGTCTTCTCTACCCAAGCTATATCTAGGGTCTTTTTTTCTTAAAATGTATTAAAAGAGCAATATGGAGCTGAAGAACATGAAACATACAAAATGGAAGGTATGTTAAAAAATCAATACTTCTGTAGCAAACAGTATCACTATTTTTCTTTTTTCAGAAACATTTTATATCCTGGAAAACACTCTTTCCCATTCTCAAGTTTATAGTTACATTAATTATATATGTTTGATGATATCTAAAAATGTATTCATGACCTACTGATTGTTCTCTAACAGTGCTTAAGGAAGAAGAAAAAAGCAACTATATTTTTTAAAAGATCAAATAAATAAATAAATAAAACAAAACAAAACAAAGCCAAATTTAGAAGCCAAACTATCCCACTGATACCTACCTCCTGGAAATTCCATTAGCCAGACATTTATGGCTACAGGATTTGGAGGATAGGGGTGATGAAGTTGGGGACAAGTTGAGAGGGGCAATCAAACTGTTGATGATCTCAGTCAACTGTGCACTCTGCAAGAAAAATATTAACTTTTTACTACTGCTCAGCAAGAAATTTGAATTAGTTCTCACACCGTTAGCAAATGTTTATGTTTTAGTCAATATTTTAATCTACAAAGATGATGTATACCACTACTAATTTTTCCACTTATTATAAATAAATCTGTATTTTAAAGTACTCTTCCTTTTCTATATCCGTTTTTATTACAGTTCCTTTATCTACTCATCCTATCGTCTTAAAACATTTGAATTTAGCTAACAGCATCTACATAATATTTTCTTTAAGACAGTTAAGTTAATAACAATAAAATCATAGCTATAATTTACTAAGTGCCTACTATATGCCAAGCACTACACAAAGCACTAAACATAGATAATTCCTAATCTTTATAACCAACCTGCAAAGTAGTTAATATTAGAACTACTGGTATTTCTATTATTAAAATCAATTATAGCAGAGGAAATTGAAGCCAAAAAAAGATTAAGCAGCTTGAATAAGGATTATAAAGTTGGTAAGAAATGGAGCTAGGATTCAAATTTAGGCTTGAATCCAATGTCACGCTGTTTCTCAATATTTTTCCTAACTCAAAAATACCAGGTTTGTTTAGGTACTCAAATTTCCATTGATCCTTATTCCAAATTAAATATACATAATATATTTGTACATAAATATATTATGTATATTTAAGTTTAATACATAATAAATAATAAATTTATAAAATTATTCTCAAAACAATAACCTACAATAATTATAATAAACATAGGCCTCATCACTGGAAACAGTATGTTTCTACAAAAGAATGACAATTATTTTCATTACACACATAGTCTATGTTTATTATACCAAAAAGGGCAAATATTAAAAGGCTTAAAAAAGGAAAAGAAAATCACGTGCAATCATATTACACAGAGAAATACTACTGCTAATATCTTAGTATATAACCATCCCTCTAGACTAAGTTTTCTGAGTCTATGCGAGCATGAGTGCATACAAAATGCATCTACACACATACACCTACACAAGCACAAGCGCACACGCAAACACACACACACAGTTTTAATTAAATCATGTCATATAAATTTTCTATGACCTGGTTTTCTCACTTAATAATGTATGATTTTATTTTTTAAAATATGTAGTCCTATTTCACCATTTTTATTAATTGAAAGATATTCCATTAGAAAATAGAGGGGTATATGAAATAATTATTTTTAAAATTTTCATTTATATGAAAATAATATGCTATTAGAAACAATGAGAATAATTAGTAAATCTAATATTTGAATTCTTCAAAGTCTTGAAAAAGACCCTGAAATGTTTTCACCATTTACTTTCTTGAAAAATAATACATACCTAATGACTTCATTTTAAAAATGATTACTCATTTTTAGATTAAAGATCATTTTCAAAATCAATACAAATAGATTCTTGATATACTTAGTAAGCACTCATTAGTTTAGTCATACAAAGAAATTTATAAAGTATCTCATATTTTTCAGTCTGAAACACTGATACAGTCTTCTCATTGTTCCACTGCCAAAAATATCATTAAAAATCTTCTAACCCCCCTGAGGTAACTGGTTAAGTATGTGTGAATAATTGGTCCAGAAGAACAGCCTAGCCACCAACCAATCCAGCCCAATAAAACTGCAAATATCTGAGTCCATGTTTGGCATAAAAAAATCAGAGTAAAAATGAGAAAAAAGTAAATTAGGACAGGAGTAATTTAAACTTTGAAAGCAAAAACTAATCAAACTTGAAAGTTAAAACACTTACTAGCTACTGGATAACAAGGTTTTAAATGTAAACACACCCATGTGAAACTTTTTTTAAATTACCTAAAGTTCTAAAAGAAAGTCACCTTTTAATTTCTGAACAAAATACATTATCTAATAATATAAGTCTACATTAGTACTATAAATCAATGTTATTTTTTAAAACTGATACCACTATATAACTCAACAGTGCCTTTATATTTTAATTATCAACTCTTTAATTGCTTTTGAGATACATAAATAAGTTTTGTTTGGTAAACAAAACATTCCCCTAACAAAATTAACTGAATCAAATCATCCAATACTTGATCTATTCTCAAGGTCCACTAAGATCAGTGAACAGTTACATACCAACAGGTTATCTTAAGAAAAATATGTGTAATATCAAGCCTGCTAACTCTGACACTTAATTCTCAACACTCTTCGGCAAGTATTTGAAAATAATGTTTTTAATTGGCCTATAAAAACATTACTAGCATATGCTACAAGAGCAAATGACCTGTTCATAGGCAATTTAGTAATGACCTCTATAAGAGATTGTTGCTGTCCCTTTCTTATCCTTTTGCTCTACACTCCCTATATCCAGAGCCATTGCCATTGTTCTCACAAGTCCTGGTTCCCTTCTCTTTCAAAGCCTCTAGCACTCCTGTTAGCATTGGGACCAAAAATAAACATAATACCCAGGGCCAACTTCACGGGGAAGCAACCTGAGCAGTTGCACAGGGCTGCCCTCAGAAGGATCCCATGATTGGTTAATGCCCTGCTGTCACTGACTTAAATCTCTCCAAAATTGTTTTTAACAAAGAGCTATGTAATTTCATTTTGCACTGGACCCTGGAAATTAGCCAGTTCCGATGTTAACTCAGGTCTAATAAAACAAATTGTTGCTACCAAGGAGAAAGAAAGAATATAAAAAATCTCTCTCCAAAGGATAAGCAGTGACCTACAGGTAAAGAAAACAGAAGACCTGACTGACCAAGCAAATACATTTTTCTGGAGTGTGAAACAGGGCCAAACTCAAAGGGTGGTGAAAAGAGAGGGAAGTGGGAACATAACCAACACTATTTAAAACACCACTTATGTGGTAAAGTACATTCCAATTTAACACTAGATAATTTAAAAAGAACTTTCTGGATTATAAAGTATTCATAAAAGTATTTTGATTATGAATTTGTGCAATTATGCAACTAAGAAAAAAACTCTAGGCAACTGTAAATTGAACAAATACGGGGTGAGAGGTATTGCACCATACTTTGACTTACCAGGAATAAAACAGTAGTAGCCTGGTACTAAATTATTTCACAATATACGACAGAAAAACCTAGAAAAATTAGATGTGAGCAGGCATGAATCCACCTTACTCACTGAAACAAGGGAACTATGTAGCTGTGATCCCAACTAGGTATATTTCAGCAGATTTAGATTGGTTGTAAGGTAACAAACTCTTATAAAGCCAGCTTTGTTCAAGAGCCACCAAAGTCTAAATAAAAATAAATGGTGTGATTTCAAAGGACAGATAGAGGACAGAGTAATTAAATTTCTGGAGTCATCCATAATTGAATTTCAATATTGGGAAAAGCTTTAGAATCAAAATAATTTGTTAGGGGCTTAGTTGCCATTTATTTACATGAACTTTTTTAACAAAAGAATTCATATTCTGATCTCTTTCACTAAAAATCTCTATCAATAAACTGATCAGTTCTATTAATCTATAAGTAGATTCAGATCTATTAAATGGTATCACTGTTCTTTCTTCATGAAAAAAAGTCCAATGATGAACAATTTTGCTTGAAAAAAGATATTCTAATCCTAGTACAAATGAGTTATCATCCTATGGCTGTGTACCAATATTTTATATATTTAAATAATCTTAATTATATCAATGTTATAAGAAAGACTCATCATATACTACAAATTTTAATTGCATGTAATGTAAAATGGGAAACCTTAATAACAAATATCCCAAGCAGACGCACAGGTTTATTTGAATAGTTTATAAAATGAATAAAACTCATTTCATGCCACTCATATCTTAACTCTTCCATCATATTACCTGCTTTTCTATATTGCGAAGAAGAAGTGTTGGGCTACTTGGTGACATTTCAAAATCTTGTTCTGGTAAAGGATCTGGACTCTCCTGGGGAATCTGGGGATTCCCTGTAGTATGTAATGAAGCCGCCTGGTCAGAAAATTGTATTTGTTTCTTCAAAATGTCTTTTGGAAGTTGACATTCTTCTAGGATCACTATCCCCTAGGCAAACAGCAATTAAAAGATGAAATTAAAATAAAGTGACTGCTAAATCAACTTTAACGTTACAATGCACTTGAAACCACGTTTTTTATGACCTGAAAGTAGAGTCTAACTGTAAAAAACTGGCTGATTTAAAACATGTATAGCTAAAGCAACATGTATGTCTGATGGGTTAGGCTTGTAAAATATTGCCATGCATTGTATATATGAAGTTATTTTTCTTCTTATTGGCTTTAGTTATTAGCAGCAAAAGCATGATACATTTTTTTAAAGATTTTATTTATTTATTTGACAGAGATAAAGAGAGCACAAGTAGGCAGAACAGCAGGCAGAGGGAGAGGGAGAAGCAGGCTCCCCACTGAGCAGGGAGCCGATATGGGGCTCGATTCCAGGACCCTGGGACCAAGACCCAAGCCGAAGGCAGCCATCCAGGCACCCCAAGCATGATACATTTAAAATCAAGGCTTATATGCAGAATATGAACACTTCACACTGAAATTTAGAACACTTCCTCATATAATCTTCAGATATTTTGGTCACTAGCATTTCCATTTGAGTACTCCCAGTTTCATAAATTAAAATACCAAACTTACAGACATCCAAACACCATTCTGACTTTATACAAACTGCTTTCAGAGTACTCTTAGTAGTCCAACTCCGTTGCTGCCAGCCAGCAACCATGAGCAGCACTGCACTATTAAGAAAAAGTATTCTGTAGGCCAGTTAAATTGTTGCTTATAAGGTAGATGAGTTAATAACAAAAGACACAAGTTTTCAACTGTGATGGGGTATTTTCTTAAATGTAGAGGAAAGAGTTGGGATCTAGCTGTCTCTGCCCTCCCTGACTACCATTCACACACACACACACACACACACACACACAACTGGCTTGCTACATACTCTCCCATATTCCCCAGATTCTTCACTCCAACTGTTCTTACCCTTACGTCTCTCAATGGCAATGAAGACAGAAGAGAAAGGAAGAAGAAGAATGCACAGATATGATCTTAACAGTTGCATTATCAGTTCTTACAGTAAAACTTTTTTCCCCTCTCTATCCTTTATAGCACTTGTGTATATGCGCGCGCGCACACACACACACACACACACACACACAGAGTTATTCAGCAAAATGCCAATAAACTCCTAATAGGCTAGTTGGAAAGGCATTAAATGCCTATGTGGCTAAAATATAATATTCCTGTAATGAAAAAGTGACTAAAACATTAATATAAGTGTACAGTATTTTAAGACGAGTCAAATTTAAAAACTGGTATGGGCCAGCTTATATCATATTTAAGGGCTGTTTATAGGATGGGAACTGCCTATAAATTATGTTATAGAAGAGTAGTTTTAATTTACACTATAATTTGGAGAATATATCACTTTAGCATGAACATATTCAGGTATGGTGTCAAACATTATTTTGTAGTAATATATTACTACAAAAGTAATATAGTAAAAGTAATGAATAAGGTATTATTATTGCTTTTATTATTATTTTCACCTACATTTATAACAGTGCTAGTAACTTTTTTTTTTTTAAAGATTTTATTTATTTATTTGTCAGAGAGAGAGAGAGAGAGTGAGCACAGGCAGACAGAATGGCAGGCAGAGGCAGAGGGAGAAGCAGGCTCCCCACAGAACAAGGAGCCCGATGTGGGATTCGATCCCAGGACACTGGGATCATGACCTGAGCCGAAGGCAGCTGCTTAACCAACTGAGCCACCCAGGTGTCCCAGTGCTAGTAACTTTTACAGAAAGAAGGAGATCCAACTGTTGATCCCATCTCAATAACTATTTCCTAGAATGCATAAATATGGCTGCCAAGAAATCTGAAGAAATAGATTTTTTTTAATTTTTGTTTTATTTGATATTTTAAAGATTTTATTTATTTATTTGACAGACAGAGATCACAAGTAGGCAGAGAGGCAGGCAGAGAGAGAGAGAGGAGGAAGCAGGCTCCCCGCCGAGCAGAGAGCCCGATGTGGGGCTCGATCCCAGGACCCTGGGATCACGACCCGAGCCGAAGGGAGAGGCTTTAACCCACTGAGCCACCCAGGCGCCCCGTTATTTGATATTTTAAAAGTTAAAGTAGACTTGGGGCACCTGAGTGGCATAGTCTGTTAAGCGTCTGACTCTTGGTTTTGGCTTAGGTTGTGATCTAAGGGTCATGAGATCAAGTTCCATGTCTGACTCTGCTTAAGACTCTTTCTCCCTCTCCCTTGGCCTCTCCTATTCGTGCTCTCTCTCTCAAATAAATAAATATTTTTTTAAAAGTTGGGACTTGTTAGATATAGTATCGTCAATCTCAAAAGCTTTTGAAAGTATCTGAAATGTCCATTCAAAACATGGACAAATGTCTCACTAGATTTTTAAACAGTATCTGCTTGCAAAATAAATATAAGTTTTCATCATATCAATTTAGCTGTGATTCCCATTGGTTTGATTACAGTTTATTTTATGGGACAGGCTGCTATGAATTAGCCTGGTTTTACAACCCTTACTAATAATCTTGTACATACCAAAAAAACTGATTCGGAATTTCAAAAGGTCAATTTTCAAACCTTTAGAATACTGTATTTTTTAGAAGTAGGGGTCTGCTACAGTTAGTTCAATGCAAAGTAATATTTGAAAAAACTGAATTAGGAAGACATTCATAATCAAGTTCATAATCTATTTTTTTCTCCTTAAATTGTTACCCTTGATAAAACTCTCACAAATGGCCAAGAACAGAGTAAAAAGGGGAAAAGATTAAATCCTTTAAAGATACTACAGAGACAGTTTCAGTTCTTAAAAACCAAGAAAAGAATACATGCGTGTTGGGTCACCACGATGTACACTTAAACATCTTACAATTTTGTCAATCATACCTGAATAAAGCTGAATTAAAAAAAAAAAAAAAACGCTCAGAAAAAGAATAGTCTAATCATAGATAAGGTAAATAACAAAGACGTGAAAATTTTTTAGTAAGATGAGTTGCAATAACTGAGACAAATGAAAGCTCTAGCGTAAGATGAAAGCAAGTCAACTGCTCCAGAGAAGAAAATTGTTCCTGATTATAACACTAAACAGATCCTTATCCCACTCCCAGGTCTTCATAGAGAAGACATGGTATTAAAAAATAATGACCTCAGCAATACCTTCAATATTTATATAAAGTCACCAAAGCTAATTTTTTTAAAAAATTTAAATGAGACACCCATGGGTGGCTCAGTCACTTAAGAGTCTGCCTTTGGCTCAGGTCATGATCCCAGGGACCTAGGATCAAGTACTACATTGGGCTGCTTGCTCAGCAGGGAGCCTGCTTCTCCTTCTGCCTGCTGCTCCCTTCCCCCAAAACGCCCCAACCCGGCGCTTGTGCTCATGCGCTCTCTCTCTGATAAATAACTAAAGTATTAAACTTTAAAAAAAAATTAAATGAAAAATTTCAAATGCACAAAATTACAATTTAAAATGTAGAAGACCCTATCACAAGATAACAAAAGAAATCTAAGAGAAACCACTTAATATGGGATATTGAGAAGGATAGCCAGCTTCTCAACCAAAAAAATACCACCTATTTTAATATTTTCTGAAAGTGACAAGAGGCTATTGTCTTAGTGAAAGTTGAAACAAAGAAAAGAAGAAACATAGAAGTTGTAATGTGTTGTCAAAATGCTGGAAGAACAAGGAAGGAATGTTGCTAATATGGACTTTCTTTTCTCTAAAATTTTTAGCAAAAGTTAGACCATCCCAATATGTCAAGAAGGGGCAAATGACAGCTTAAAAACCCAGAATGTGTAGATCTACTCGTAGACTGACTCAGTGTTTCCTGACCAGGGTTACCAACTAGCACTTATTTAAACAGGATACTTACAAAAGAATGTCTCTCAACCTCTTTCCCTTCTCTGTATTTCAAATTTAACTGAGAAGAAAGGATTTTTTTTTAAATTTTCAAGATAAGTTAAATAGGTCATTCAAGAGAATGTTAACTACACTTCTCAATTTTTTAATTACAATAACTCAAGAAGCCAGAAGAGCAAAGAAAATGCTATTTTCTCTATTCAGTATTATAGTTCAACTAAACTGCACAGAAATAAGCAATTAAACATCTTGATTAATTCCCAAGAAATGTAAGGAGAAGCTACTAAAATAAATACTGTAAAGACATTTTCCATAAAGTAAACATAATGTGATTCTTAAGAAAACAGAAGGCCTGATACACATCTAGCCTGAACCAAGAAAAATGTAAGGCCATATAAATTATTACTGAGAAGTTTAGATTTCTTTCCTAAAAATAATTCCCCTAGATATTGTGTAAACATATGAACTTTTAAAAATGTTTTTAAAAGTACATAGCACTGTTTAGAACACACGGGTCATAAAATATGAACCAGACTGTATAGATTCAAGTATAAAACTTAGTCATCAATTTAACTAGGAATCCACTTTCTTGAAAATTTCCAAACTGTTTTAAATTTGACTTTTTTTGAGAACTCTATTTACTATAAAAATGCTCATGATATTATATCCTTTAAAGTAAATGATCAGAGAGGAGAAATTATCTGGTGATCCTGAAAGAACTGAGAAATCACTACAACTGAAGCCTTCAATGAAGACAGCTAAAAATGAGAAACAGGGGGTGCCTGGGTGGCTCAGTGGCTTCAGCCTCTGCCTTCGGCTCAGGTCATGATCCCAGGGTCCTAGGATCAAGCCCCACATCGGGCTCTCTTCTGAGCAGGGAGCCTGCTTCAACTTCCTCTCTCTCTGCCTGCCTCTCTGCCTACTTGTGATCTCTGTCTGTCAAATAAATAAATAAAATCTTTAAAAAAAAAAAAAAAGAGAAACAGTAACTACTTCCATCAGAAAATTATTCTTGAGCAAAGTTCCCCCAAATCCAACAGACAAAACAGGTTAAGCCTAAGGTTTTATGTCTATCCTATCCACCCTCCTACACACATCACCACCAAATTCTACAATTCATTCCTTCCCAGTTTCCTCTTCCATCCTTACACAACTCATACTTTCCACTCCTTTGAATACCATTCTACTTTGTCACTCCCAAAACACATTATGTTGTTTCATGTCTTCAAACCTTCAAGGAATGCACTTTTCCAGCTCCACTGGTTCATCAAGCAAACCATTATTTATTTTCCAAAATTACACTGAGGTATCACCTCTTTTTCTGATGTTTTCTCGGAACAGCTAATCCCTAAAATAAGACTTATGTATTCTCTCTATGCCACTTGTATATCTTATTAAAAAAACATGTATCATTATACCAATTTCATTATATTACAATTAATTATTTACATGGTCTCTCTCTCCTACCAGAATATAAACTCATGATTGTGCCTAAAAACTTTATTTATGTGCAGACCCTAGGTACTGTTCCACTAACCACATGGATAACCATATGATTAAGAATGTATTTCAGTAAAAGGTAAACCAAGAGAGAAAAGGCAGTGTAGAAGAGACTGCAAACTTCCCAATATCCACTTTCCTCTTCTTTTTACAACAAAACCATACTCCTACTGGAGTTCTAGCTATGCATACAACTTCTCATTATAAGGCTGTATTATTTACCTCTCCCTCCTGAAATATGTGCCTAAACTTGGGCCAGTGAGAGTGACACAAAGTACAACAATTTCCAAATCACCTCCCACCTAAAGACAAACTATTTTGCACTTTTCTCACTTCCCAAGGGCCAGAATGAGGGAATGACGACAACCCTGTTTAACAGTGCAGTCAACATTATCCTAGAGGACAACAAAGGTCCTCTAAGTAAAACACAAGAATAGTAAGTAGATTTTTTTTTAAAGATTTTATTTATTTATTTGAGAGAGAGAGAGAACAAGCAGTGGCGAGGGAAAGCGGGGGGAGAGAAAGAGAGAGAGAGAGAGAGATTGAGAAGCAGACTCCCCACTGAGCAGGGAACCCGGATGAAGGGTCTGATTCCAGGACCTCAGGATCATGACCTGAGCCAAAGGAAGATGTATAACCAACTGAGCCACCCAGGCACCCCAGGAAGCATATTTTTAATAAAATTAGTTAGAAATATAATTACTGACTATAAAAAAGAAGGAACTAGATTGTAGTAGATCTATGCAATGAAAAGTCAGAAAGTATTAGAATCCTGTTAACTCTATTTGAAAATAAGACTGTCTGTAACTAGACTGAATTCCCTCTGAAGGAACGCCCTCTTCATCTTTGCATCCCGATATCTACCATATACCTGACATTTTAGTGGGTTTTTCAAAACCAAAGAAAAACATAAATGTGAGGTAAGTATTTTTTTAGAATTGTTTTTTCTGAGCTGGCTCTGTAAATGATAGTCCAGAAATAAAAAGAAGCACTAAAAAAAAAAAAAATCACAAATTGGGAAAAGGTAAAAACTATTCAATAATTTTATTTAATTTTCTACCATTTATGATATATAATTATATTTTCTGTAAACATATTTAGAGTATCTCTGGAGAAATACACAATAAACTGCTATTGTTAATGCTTTCAGGGAGAGAACTGGAGGACTAGAAGTAGAAGGGAGACTTGTTTCACAGTATATTTTTTAGTATTTTTAAATTTTCTATCATGTGTATGTAATTCCATTTTTTTTCAATTTGTTCTTTAAAAATCACCATTTACCTGACTAGACAATAAGCCTAAATAAATTCTGACCATTGGTGCAGAAAGAAAAAAGAAAGAAAGAATTAGAATCCATGTTTTAAGTAATAAATAATATAAAAATATTGAATACTTTTTAATCATTGTTAGGATTACTTTTAATTAAGAAGTATATTAAAAATTAGGAGTAACGACAAAGAATAAAACTATAATGAATAGCTTCTAAATCAGCAGAGGTAAAAGAAGGAAGCAAATTCTACCAATCCAAAAAGAGAAGTAAAATAACGACATAAATAAAAAAGAGGAGAATAAGGGCAAATAAAAAATCAAAACTAATCAGAGTTGATTTTTGAAACTAACTATTCATAGTTTAAAAAGAAATACCTAGAATAATAAAAAATTTTATTTAACAAAAAGAAGCAAAAAAAAAACTGAAAAATTCACGATGGGGGAAAATTTTAACAAATGTGTATCATAAATGGAAAGATCTAGAGGTATAAACATACAGCAGATATATACAATAAAGTCAACAAATTTGACAAAGAATTCTATACTGAACACATACAGAACATGCATTCTTTTCTGTTACATATACTAAAATAATGAAAAGACAAGCTACAAATGAGAGATATGTAATATTTATAACTAAGAATAGTCTCCAAAATTTAAAAAGAATTCACAGACACACATTTCCACCAACCATAGCCCTCTCCCTGTCCCACCAAAAAGAGTGAATACAAAGGTAGTTAATTCTTAAGCAAAAAACATTTGGTGGGCAATTATATCAAGGCCCAATTCTCAGTACTAAGGAATGATTAAATTAAAACAATAATAAAGTAATATTTCTTACACATTACACTGGAAAAATTAAAAGGTAAAAAATTACTAAATGTTGGCAAGGATGTGTTAAAAAAAAAAAAAAAAGAGTTCTCATGCACTGCCAATGGGAATATTAACTATCCAATCACATCAGTAAGTATAGGGAAGATGAAGACAGCCAGGCCTAAGAGCCATCACTCTCAGGCATATACCAAGAACTCTCCACGGCTGACAAAGAAACACAAAAAGATAGTCATTACAGTATTGTTTTTACTGGCATAAAACTAAACAATGTATATGTCTATCAATAGAAAATAGGAGAAAAGATAAACATTCCATTGTATTCATATAATTCCATCCCATTCATACCGCTAAGTAACATACAGGACCTCTAAAATTTATGTTGAACAAAAGCAAGCAAGTCACAAAAGAGTTTGTAGTATATAGGTCATTAATCAGACTGTGAAATAATGGAAAAATAAATACTAGTTTTAGACAGAGACATCTATGTGCCAATAGTTTAAAAACATAAATACCAAAACATGCTGGAATCAAGAGAGTGGCTACAGTGGCATGAGGAAAGAGAATGGGATCAGGAAGGAGTATGCGAGTACCTCAACTGTACAGGTAATACTTTGTTACTCTAAAAACTAAACCCAAACAGTAAAAATTTAACACTTGATAAATTTGGAGGCGGGTACAAGGTGTTCATTATATTGCTTTCTAGAGCTTTTTATGTGTTTATAATTTTTTTTAAAGCAAAACGAAAACTCTGAGGGGATTCAATAAAATACACTCAGACTTTCTCACATATGTTCAAATAAATGCCATCGAAGTAGAAGTTTATAAAAGTGTACCTAATTTCTTTTCATTGGAATCCAATGAAGAAGCTCTGAACTGCTCAAGTATGATAAAATGATCATAACAAATACAAAGACATTACAATGAAAGCTTCAATGTAAAGAAATTGATATATTAAAAATGGTAATTTATCAGCTATACTTTTATAAAGACTTGTAACAATTACACTGTGTGCAGAGATGAGAAACTAAAACAGTAATTTTTTTAAAAAAATACAAGAATACAAACAATACCTTGGATGCACGAATCTGCCTGTGAACATCCGTTAGTTGCTGGATTTTGTACTCCAGTTCTGAAATCTGGGCTTGAAGCCATGTCCATCGACTGCCAACTCTCGCTCTGTCTACAAGCCACTTCCATTCAGTGCTACAGTTACTGTGAAGGAGACAAACATTGTTAGTCAAAGAACAAAGGCAATCAAGTTTTCACAGACTACTTAATAAATTCTTCGGCTCCTATCATATAATCCAAATTCCTTTATACAACATCTAATTACATGAAAGAACCTCACATCAACTCTTAGCAAAGAAAAATATTTAACTTCCTTATCTATCCCATAAGCACTTGTTTTTATTATTACATATCCAGTAATAAGATAATCTCCTCTGCTCCTTAACATTTTATTAATATGCATAAGGGCTGAAATAGGAGTGGGCTAGCAAAAGAAAGGAAACAGTAGTGATACTACTAACACCATGTAAAAACTGTTACATGAAGCTTCTATATGTAAGCAGAAGTATTAGTCACTTGAACTGTGCTAGATCTAAATCCATGTAATAAACCAGAGTACTCAATTTTATTATATGTAATTTTTATTCGTTAAAACAGTAGTCACTGGTAGCTAATTAAACACCTAAACTCAATTTAAATATATTATCAAAAAGTATCAAAAATATGGCTGCTCTACCTTTCAAATAAGTATACCAAATATATAGGCCTTGAAATGTTTATTAAGATAAATAGCTTATAAAAACCTGATTCCTAGGGGCACCTGGGTGGCTCAGTTTGTTATGCTTCTGCCTTCGGCTCCGGTAGTAACCACAGGATCTTCGGGTTGAGCCCCACATCAGGCTCCCTGATCATCAGGGAGCCAGCTTGTCCCTCTCCCTCTGCCCTGCTTGTGCTCTCTCTCTTGAATAAATAAATAAAATCTTTAAAAAAAAAAGGGGGGGTGGGGTGAGGGATCCCTGGGTGGCTCAGTCAGTTAAGTGCCTGCCTTTGGCCCAGGCCATGATCCCAGGCTGTTGGGATTGAGTCCCATATAGGGATCCTTGCCCAGCAAGGAGCCTGCTTCTCCCACTCCCTGCTGCTTCCCTGTTTGTTTGCTCTCTCTGACAAATAAGTTAAAAACTAATAATAATAAAATAGATTTAAAAAATAAACCTGATTCCCAGGATTCACAGCCCAAAGATAAGAATTTATATAGACTTTTCCATCATGCATTTTTGAAAATAAGGGTTGAACCCCAGCTCCTCTATCTTTTGGCAAGGGTACTATTCTAATCCATAGTTTGTGAGATAACAAATTAATTACTTTATGAAAATCTAATCACTCCAAATAGAAAACAGTTATTTGGAATAACTAATTAAGAGCTTCAGATTACAAAAGAAAACATGACAGAAATTGAAGGTAAAAATGAAAACCAACAAATGTTTCATGGCAGAACACAACCTTTATGAAAAACTTGCCCCAAAATTACATTTACTGTCAAAACCCATAGAATGTACAATACCAAGAGTGAATCCTCATGTAAAGTATGGACTTTAAGTGGTAACTATTTATCAGTTTAAGTTCATAGATTGTTACAAATGCACTACTTTGGTATGCAGTATAATGATGGGGAGGTTCTATCAGTGTAGGGACAGGGAATATACAGGAACTCTTGCATTTTCTGCTTAATTTTGCTAGGAATCTAAAACTGTCCATTAGTTTTACACATTGAACCATAACTGAATGTCTCCCATACAAACTTTAGCCAGAGAAAACTTATCCTAAAAGATAATTTACTGGGGTGCCTGGTGGCTCGGTTGGTAAAGCATGTGACTGTTGATCTTGCGGTTGAGAGTCTGAGCCCCATGTTAGGTCAGGAGAGGACTTAAAAATATTTTTAAAAATAAAATAATAAAAGATCATTTGTTGTGATGAGCACTGAAACTAAACTGCACACCTGAATCACTGAAATGCACACCTGAAATGAATAATACACTGTATGTTAACTGGAATTTAAATAAAAACTTACAGAAATAAAATACAATTTGTTGGAGAAACGGAATAAATTATTATAACTTCACCGTATAGAATATATTTATTATAACAGGATTTTACATTAAATCAACGTCCCTAAGAGTTAATTTGTTTTTATCCATTTGAGAGAGAGAGTGTGTAAGCAGGGTGGAGGGCAGCAAAAGGAGAGGGAGAAGCAGACTCCCTGCTGAGCAGGGAGACCCATGCAGGACTTGATCCCAGGATCCTAGGATCATGACCCAAACTGAAGGCAGACGCTTAACCAATTGAGCCACCTAAGTGCCTCAAGAAATGTTCTTAAGATTCTAATTGCACACGATATGATTGAGGAGACCTTCATATAGGTTAAGAATTCTCTTGGTATTATGTATTCGGTCTATATGTATTATGTTTTATGTATTACGTGCATTATGTATTTGGCTTATAGTCATTATTGTGCTTTTAAATTTGACACATTTTTAAATCATATTTTCATAGTTATGAAAATAACAAAAGAGAATGCTTATTCAAAATAATATTAAAATGCAGGGGCACTTGGCCGGCTCAGTCAGAGGGGCATGCAACTCTTGATTTAAGATTTTGAGTTCAAGCCCCACGTTGAGTATAAAGATTACTTAAATAAACAAACAAAGAAACAAATAAACAAGCTTTAAAAAAAATAATATTAGCTTTTCCTTTTTGTGGCCATTGTTGAAGTGCCAGCAGCCACAATGAAGTTTAACCCCTTTGTGACTTCTGATGAGAGCAAGAACTGTAAAGAGTACTTCAATGCATCTCCCCACATTTGCAGGAAGATTATGTCTTCCTGGCTGAGACAGAAGTACAATGTTCGATCCATGCCCATCCAAAAGGATAAAGTACAGGCTGTATGAGGATACTACAAAGGTGAACAAATGGGCAAAGCAGTCCAGGTTTACAGGAAGAAATATGTCATCTACCCTGAACAACTATACAAGAAGGCAAAAGGCACAACTGTCCATGTGGGCACTCAGCCTAGCAAGATGGTTATCACTAGACTAAAACTGGACAAAGACTGCAAAAAGATCAAGCCAAATCTCACCAAGCAGGAACAGAAAAGGGCAAATACAGGGAAGAAACAATGGAGAAGATAAGGGAATAAAGTAATCTTATATACAACTTTAAATAAAAACTGTTAAGTGGCTGGGTGGCTCATTTGGTTCAGCCTCCGCCTTCTGCTCAGGTCATGATCCCAGGGTCCTAGGATCAAGCCCTGTGTGGGTTTCCTACTCAGCGGAGGGGGGTGGGTGTCTGCTTCTACTGCTCCCACCCCACCCCGTGCGTGCGCACGCTCTCTCTCAAATAAAATCTTTAAATAAATAAAAACCATTAAAATGAAAAAATATTAAAATAGATACTATTATCTATTATTCATAGATAATACTTAATAACACTAACTACCAATCATGAAATTAGTGAGAAAGGCAAGGGCCATGGCACATAGCAATTGTACAGGTTAATGGTAAAGTGTTGGATTTTATGCAAAAAGGAAGGGTTTTTTGTTGTTGTTTTTTGTGTTTTTTTTTTTTTTAAGATTCCATTCATTTATTTGACACAGAGAGATAGTGAGTGAGAGAGAGCATAAGCAGGAGGAGCGGCAGGCAGCACAAGAGGGAGAGGCAGGCTCCCCAGTGAGCAGGGAGCCTGAATGGGGACTCAATCCCAGCACTCCAGGATCACAACTCGAGCCGAAGGCAGCAGTCCAACCAAGAAAACCACCCAGGTGCCCCCAAAAAGAAAGTTATTAGCAAGGCAATAAAAAAACCTTTTTTTTCCCCCAAGCACTCTGGTTACTAGGTAGAGAAAGCATTATAGTGGGATATGAGAAGAAATAAGGAAATCGGTTAGGATGCAACTATAGTAATCTGTGTGTGGTACAGATAAGTGTGATCTCCAAATAGTTCATGTGCTATCCTACATTTCCCAGCCTTCTTTGCACTTAGGTTGGAGCCATGTGACTAATTCTGACGGATGCATTAGGAGCTAGGGTTCTAGTCATTTCCAGTGTATCAACCTTCAAAGCCACTAGTGCAGACAGCATCACTACAATATGTGGGAGGATCAGCCTAAACCACACTGGCTTTTACGTAAGCCACAGCAAACCCTGGCTGTGTTAAACCTCTGAGATTGGGGGGGGGGGACCTCAGTGGCTCAGCTGTTTAAGCATCTGCCTTTAGCTGGGGTCAGGATCCAACCTGGCATCAGGCTCCTTGCTCAGCAGGGAGCCTGCTTTTCCCTCTGCCTGCTGCTCCCCCCTGCTTGGGCTCTCTGTCTGACAAATAAACAAATAAAAGTTAAAAAACAAAAACAAAAACAAAACAAAACAAAACACTGAGATTACAAGGTTAATTGTTACTCTAGAGCCCAATCTGACTAAAACACTGAATAAAAAATGAAAATGCCATTAACAAAGAAGGGAGGGTGGATAAAGAAGAGATGAAGGTAAGAGGATGGATTCAAAGTTCACTTTAAAGCTGAACTGATCACAATCCCAGATTTCAACCTACACTATAAAGCTACAGTAATCGAAACACAGCATGGTTCTGGCACAAAAACAGACACATAAGTCAAAAGGACAGAATAGAGTCCAGAAATAGACCCATGCTCATATGATCAATTAATCTATGAAAACACAGGCAAGAATTTACAATTGGGAAAACACAGTTTCTTTAATAAATGGTATTGGGGAAACTAGACAGCCACAGGCAATAGAATGAAACTAGACCATTTTCTTACACTATACACAAAAATAAGCTCAAAATGGATTAAAAACTTAAATGTAAGACCTGCATCCATAAAACTCCTAAAAGAAAACACAGGCAATTATCTCTTTGTCACTGGACTTAACAAAAAGCAAATATTGTATTGGGACTACTTCAAACTAAAAACTTTTGCATAACAAAGGAAACCATCAACAAAACAAAAAGGCAACCTACCAAGTGGGAGAGGATATTTGCAAATGATACATCTGAAAAGTGGTTAATGTTCAAAATATATAAAGAATTCATACAACTCAACACCAAAGAAACTAAGAATCAGATTTTAAAATAGGCAAACGACCTCAATAGACATTTTTTCAAAGAAGCCATACAAATAGTCAACAGATATATGAA